CTGCTGAGGTACATTAGATGTTTCAATCATTTCCTAATCGCTCTAGCATATATTATTTTATTTTACTGCAGTGTAGTTGAACATGTCAAATTTGAACCCAATTTTGAGTTTATGATTATCAATGTTCAACTCCGTAGCCCTATGTTTTTATCCTAATACAGAAGACAAGTGAACTCTTAAATCAAGTATTGCGGACTTTTTTGATGGCATTAACCAGCGTTTGCATTACATTGAGAGGAGAAGCACGGAGAACTCTCATGATTAACCCGACGACAAAGGGGATTCTAACTCATGAGGATATTTTTAGTTAGCAATATGAGCATCGAGAGCAGATTTCGTATCCAACCATCACTGAGATTCGAACCAGGTTAACCTCATTGGCAAGTGAATGCTCTATCTCCTTAGCCGCCGCTGCTTAGCATTTATTACTGCCATATTATTGACAAAAAGAATTTATCACCCATCACCTTAAGAAAGAATTTACTTTCAGAAAAGAATTTATCACCCATCAATTTTGCAACTAGTCGTGCAACTGGACCTTGCAACTATTAATTGAAGTGTTAACAAATGAAATGAGCTTTGTGCTTGATTAAAATAATTATAGTATGCAAGTTTCAATCGTTTCGACTTCCTCTAACAGAATTTATATCATCAAATAAATGAACACTAGCGCTTTGGACTAAGAAGAGGGCTAAAATAAATTGCCTGATGAAAATCATATTCTAAATATTGCAAACTAAATTTATAGCCTATCGAAATTTCTATCTTCGTTCCGAAATATTCTGAGATGGAAAAAAAAACTAAAAAGTAGAAAAAAATAAATTAAATTTAGGAAACAGCATTTGTCAAAAGTGAGCAAAAAGAAAAATAAGAATACATTGATTTTCGTCGGAATAAAAATGAAAATCGAAAAGCGCATCACTTCCTGAATAAAGTACTACCACCGCCGCAACTTCCCCGTTTACTTTTTCCGAAAGGGATGATTTTCTCCTTTGTAGTCAATTTCACTAAAAAATAGTTTTTATAACTTTTATTTAATTTAACCTAGCCTTTTATAACCATTTTTGTTCCAAATAAAAAAAAATTGCACTGCTGTACTCGTCAAATACTGACATTTAAACAAAATATTGCATAATTTAATCTAGGAAATAGCATTTTTACACGAGAAAAAAAATGAATATTTGGCGTATTTTATTTTTTAATGATTAAGTAATTGATTTTGTAAGTTCAGAGAGCTAATCCATTTCGTTTCAACCAGCTGTATATTTAAAAAGTAAAAATAAAAGAATGGGAAAAAAAATGGCAAACATTTTGAGACCCCGCTTTCCGAGACCCGATCAATCACTAAAAAGCTATTAAAAAAACTATATTATCAATGATATATTAATCATGATAAACCTCAAATTTTAATCATGATAATATATCTTGAATAATTAATGATGCATTTAACTTGGAACTTATTAAAAATAAACCAGCAAAATTAACATCCGCACAAAAGTAATATATTGAAAAGAATTTGGTTAGTTAACTTTTATTTTTTAATTATTTGAGGTACTATTATTCAGTTGAAAGTCTAAAAATGTATTAAAGGCAAAATATCAAACATAACCTTAAATGGTTTTTGAAAATTGCTTGTATAGTTTACCTACCGATTTCTGAAGTCTGCCTAATCACTAATCATTTTCTTAGTCATTAGTTATCTTTCTGAATTTATTTCTTCTATGGTGACTTGTTTTCGTTCTCATAATTTTTTTTTGTTTTCAGGTTTACCACCATATTTTTTGCCATTGGGATTGTCACCATGCTTCTTTTCGTCTTTCTTGGTCATTTTCAAAAGAATAAGAGCTGGAGAAAAAAATACAAACAAATTGTAAGGATTTCAATTGTAACTTAGAATCACAAAAGTTTTGTAGTTTTATAACTCATCCAGAAAGATAGTAAACGAATAATGATCCAAAACTTAAAAGTGTCTCACGTTAAAAGAGCATCTGACTAATCACAAGTACCAGAGTATTTTATCAAGGACTCATGACCACATGCGGTAAAAAAATCTTGTTTCGCTCTATTAAGTTTGGATTAAAAGTTTGACAAAAGAAAAGGTATTATAATATTAAAGAATTAAGAAAAGTTATTAAGAAAAATGTGTTATTGCTGTTGTTTTAAAGGTCACTTGCTAATACCATCAAGCCTGCTTAGTGAAACCAAGAGAATATAAGGTAGAGGGTGCGTTTCTTGTCTTTTCAGTGGCGCCATCTATGGCGAAGAATACGACTTAAGGTACACATACGTCACAGCCCATTTTACAGGGAGGACCCATTCATAAATCCATTTATTCATCCAGAAATCGTAATTTTGACCTGAACCAGAGAACGATCAACATCCAATTCAGTTACCCCAGAACAATTATTTTGCTATGGAAACATCGTTAAAACATCGTAAAAACTTATATTGACGACATAGAAGTATTTAAAGAGTTTCCAATCTTAAGCTAGAAAAAAGTGACATTTAGCGACCCCTTTTAAAAACAGACTTTTTCAAACAATTTTTGTCCAAAAGTGCGTAATATTTTTTTTTAATTTTTATTGAATTTTTTTTTTAGTGCGTGATATTTTTTTAATTAACCAATTTGAATAAATATTTTTTATGAACACTGTGATGCATATTTTTCTCTAATTTTATTTTTCTGCTGTTGTCAAGGGTTCTGAACACATATGTAAAATGTTAGCAATTTAAGAGGAGCAAACACTTTCTGTTGAGTAAGTTTTAACCTGAGCTAGTTTTTTTTTTTTTTTTTTTTTAACTTGAAACGATTATTGGCGAATTCGAACCTGATTGGTAGGGCGTTTAGGCTCATGACTAAGTGGTCTTGAGTTTGATCCCTGTCGCCCGAGAACTTGTAGTAAATGGTGACTGGTGCACATTTATGGGTCCACCCTATAAACGAGCTGCGACGTGTGTGTGCTGAATTCGTATTGCTCGTCGTAAATGGCACCACTGAAAAACAAGAAACGCACCCTCTGCCCTATATTCGCTAGGTTTCACCAAGCAGGCTTGTTGATATTGGCAAATAGCATTGGAAACACCAACAACATTGCAAATTTGACTTTTTGAAAATGTTCAGTTATACCATTTAAGACTAATCGTGCGTTTTAATGAACGATTAAAGTTTCAAGTTCTGCAAATAAAATAAAAATAAAACAAATGTCGTAAAAAAAAACTTATGCTCAACAAAAGGATTTTTAATTTCTTACAAAAAATATTTTTACTGCAAAAAAATTTTTTTTGTGTCTTAATGAATGCAATTTAAGCATATTTTTATGAAAATATCGCATTTTATAAAATTTCTATGCTTGGTCCAGAAAGGGCTAAAAAACAAAAACCTTCTAAAAAAAACTTCTAAAAAAAATTTTTTTTTAGAACTTTAAAAAATGTACTATTTTGCAGATTTTGTAGATAAAGAATTTTAGTCTAGGTTTACGGCTTAGTAAAATAGCCAATGAGCACACATGTCAACAATAACTTGATAAAATTCATGCAAAATTGTTCTCTGTTTCGTGAGTTATGGTGTCAGCTACGTAGATGTTAAGTTTCATGTAACAAAATATCCCTTAAAAATATACAAGAATCAAGTCCAAATAATTTATCAGGAGTCTCATGGAAATTCACAGAAAATTAAGAACGGAAAATTTCTTTAAAAATACTGAATATTCGGAGGTTCAGTATTTGTACAGTTGAAAAGTAAGTAAGACTTCTCAAATTACTTTCCGGTTTTTAAGCCATAAAAGAACGCTATACCACGTGAGAAACGATTTATGTCGAATTCTGTTTCAGCTCCAATAGTACTTTGAAATTTAAAGCTTAGAGAAAAGTGAGTTCAGGTTAACCTAAGGTAAACCATGAGATTTCAAATGCTGAAAAATATCAAATATCAAAATGCAAACAAATTATGGCAGGATTGTATCTCTTCTGCTCACCTCAGAATAATCCTACAATAATTTGTTGGCATTTCGATACTTTGAAAAACATTTTCAACATTTGATACTTCATGGTTTACACCAAAGGTGCGCAAACTTTTTTCGACTGCGACCCCTTTTGTAGAGAAAAAATTTCTGGCGACCCCTAGAGATAAATGTTCACAAATACGATGTATATTTCGTGCATTTCTTTCGCTTCATCGAATAAAAACATCATCATATTTGACTCATATTAATTTATTTATAATTTTAAGAAAATACTTTTTGTATAGCACAAAAATCAGTAAATTGCCCTTTAATGAGATGTATGTGGATGCAAGTTTCTAATTATCTTATCGATGTTTGGATGTATGTTGCTAATTGCAATTAGCATATCATCTTCAGGGTTTAAAAGCGAGCGGTATTTAGTTTTTATTGAAACTAGTTTGCTAAATCCAGTTTCACATAAATACGTTAATGCAAATTGTATTGACACTCTGATGGCATTCTTGCTTAAAACGGGATATTGTTTTCCACGGATAGCCTAAATTTTTGACAAAGCTGAATCTTAAACTGATTTCGAAGAGTATAATCACTAATTAGATCTATCAATTGCTCTTTCTCACTAATTTGAAGAGTTGAACTGCATTTGTCAAAGGAAAATGGATCACGAATAAAACCAAGATCGTTCTCATTAAAATCCTCGAATCTTCACGAAAAAATTTTCTTTAACTTTTCAATGTAATTGGAAATGATGTTTTTAAATGTAAATATATCTATATTATTTTCCTTGATAAAATCGTTAAAGCAAGGGAACATGTCGGTGTTGTTTTTATTCAGTTCAGTTTGCCAGAGACTAAGCTTATTCTTAAAAGCTTGAATTTTACTGGCTGCAGTTATGATAGTTGAATTCTCACCCAGCAAGCTCAAATTTAAGTCGTTAAGTTTTTCGAAAATATCAACTAAATAGCTCAGCTTCCCTAGCCAAACTTCATTGATATAATAACTTGTTAATCTATGTTTCTTTTCGATTGAAAACATGTACACTTAATTTCTCAAATCAAATATCCGTCGTAGTATTTTTCCACGTGAAAGCCATCTGACTTCGGTGTGCAACAGTAATCTCTCATACGTTGAGCCCATCTCATTGCAAAGTATTGAAAAGAGACGACTGTTGTGGCTGTTGCATTTAATGTAGTTAATTGAACTAACAGCGTCTTGTAATACGTTGTGCAACTCTTCATCCATATCTTTTGCAACAAGAGCTTGCCGATGAATCATACAGCGATTAAATACCATATGAGGCTCCACCTTCTGAATTAAGCCTCTGAGCCCTTTATTCGAACCTGTTAATGCTGCAGCACCATCAGTGCAAACAGCAACACAGTTTGCCCAGGTAAGGGACTTTGTTTCGAAATATTCATTTATTACTTCGAATATTTTTTCTCCAGTTGTTTTTCCTTCCAAACTTTTGCAACATAAAAACGTTTCTGTTATATCTTCATTAAAAATAAACCTAAAGTAAATGATTAGTTGTGATATTTTAGTGATATCGGTTGTCTCGTCCAGTTGTAAAGCAAATACAGATTAATTTTGTATGCGTTTTATGACTTCTTACTCGATATTTCGTGACATTTCGGAAATCCGCTGAGACACGGTATCTCTTGGTAATGGTACTGTTTTTAGTTCATTTCCATATTTATCACCATGCATAATTGATGTCATCTTAGTTGCTGCAGGAAGGATAAGGGATTCTCCAATTGTATGGGGTTTCATTGTTTTTCCCATTAGATAAGAAACTTTTAAAGAAGCTCGTAATGCTTTCTGGGGTATTGTTGTAAATTTCTTTAAATGCGCATTTTGAATTTTCAGATTTTCAGCTCGTCTTTGTAAAAAATCGGCATGTTTATTTTGAAATTCTTTATGTTTAGTTTCCAGGTGCCTTTTTAATTTAGCTGGTTTCATGCTCTCATTTGCTAATTTTTCGTTGCAAATGACACATATCGGGCGTTCTTCATCATCAACAACACAAAATGTAAAACCATACTTAATAAATTCCTCATTGTATTTTCTTATTTTTNAGGAATAAAATTATTAAATTAAGATTTATTTAATAAATAAAATTAATCCAACTTGTTGTTGTAGTTCATTTACGTCGCACTAGAGCTGCACAATGGGCTATTGGCGGCGGTCTGGGAAACATCCCGGAGGATGATCCAAAGACATGCCATCACAATTTTGATCCTCTGCGGAGGGGATGGCACTACCCGCTTCGGTAGCCCGACGACCTGCACGCGAAGTCGAGCACTTTACGGTAGAACAGTTTAACGAGGACCAATACCACACACCCTCGGTCCCTACGCAGGCTGATCCAAGTGGTCACCCACCCGCACACTGACCGCAGCCAGTGATGCTTGACTTCGGTGATCTGATGGGAACCGTGTCTTAACGATCAGTCCACTGCGGGACAAAATTAATCCAACAGTAATATTAAAGAAAAAAAGATTAAATTAATATAATAAATTAAGATTATCTGATACACCATTTGTGCCAGCAATAAAATGAACTTATGCGATACCTATTCTCCGATTCGAACCAGCACAGTGCAGCGCATGAGTCAGTAGCTTTTGCCTCTGACTCATTTAAGCCATTTGGTTGAAATTGAAGTGCATGCGCTTTTAGTATGAATGTTCGACCCTTGTTTCTGATGATGGTTTTTGCTTGCTTCCTTACAGTTTTTTCCCCAGTTTCGATAAGATTTCATTATTTATTTGGCTAGGTACGCGGGCGAAGTAGTTCTTTACAGTAAATCATTTATTAATAATCAATTTATTAATCATTTATTAAGAAATAGTTGATTTTCCTTCATCGTTTGTATATTGCTGCCACCAACAATTTTGGTTAACATAAAGAAGTGTCGATAATACAGTGCCACGTAATTGAAGGTTAGATTTGTTCAACAGCTGTCGAATTCTTAACTACCCATGCGTATAACAAAGTTTTATTTAATGAGGGAATGGAACCTATCCGTTAGCGGGAGCATTGGAAAAAAAATAATCCTGACAAACAAAATAAAGATTTGTCATTTTTCACGAACATCAAAGACAAATTTCTGAAGGCACCTTCGATCTTAGATTTACTAGCAGCCTCATCACGAAAATGCGACGATGGTTTGATAACGTCTTATACTATATCAAAATTAATTGCTAAATCTGGGAAAGCTCATACCAACGGCAAAGAGTTGTTACTGCCGGCTTTCAAGGAAGTTTTAAAATCAGTTTTGCACCATCCAGTCTCATCCAATTTAATCAAAAATATCCCTTTAACCAGCGATACAGTAAGGTGACGATTGATGAGATGGCTGAAGACGTTGAAGTTTTCTTATACAAACTTTCGATATCCAACGAATTTTCCCTTCAAGTTGATGAATCAACCTTGCGAAGTAATGCAAGCTTTACTGTTGGCGTAGGTCCGGTTTATGAAGGAAGAAAAATATTCAAGAGATGATTTTTGCTTGAATGTAGATACCAAAGGTGAATCTATTTTTAATACTGTCAAAGATTATTTTAAGGAGAAAAACAGTCCTCTTGCGAATATTATGTTGGTTGCCACTGATGGAACTCCTGCAATAGTGGGTCTACAGGGTGGGTATTGAAGAGGGAGGAACCAGATATTTTAGTTGTTCATTGTGTGATTCACATACATCATAGAGTAGGGAAAAAAATCTCGGTGACTGTTTGCATCAGTCATTGCAATATGTCCATATCTGCTGTTAACAAAATTCGCAATAATGCTCTCAACGATTGATTATTCAGACAGCTGTGTAAATAAATGATGAAGAATATCGCGTGCTATTACACAGAGAGTCACTGGCCACCCAAAGGCGCCTGCCTCAATAGGTTTTCGAATCTTTTCGACTCTGTGCTTGAGTTTCACGAAGACAGAGATGTAGCTATGAGAGACAGAATGATAGAATTTAACATTGACGTTGACTGCTTTATTTGCAAAATTTAATGGCGTTAATTTACAACTTCAAGCTCAATTTTATCCCAACGAAATCGGTTATTTCTACCTTTCTAAAAAAATTCATGAAAACAGAATTTTGGTAGGAATGATTTCAACCAATTTCCAATTTTATCGTATCCTAAAAAGAATGACGAAATTCTCTCTGGTGATACACAAGAATATTGTCTCCTTGTACCATAACACCTTGACTATTTTTTCATGGATTTTTCGGACTGTTTTAGAGATGTTTTGTCCTTGGAAGTCCCTCAATCGCTTATGAACCCTTTTGTGAATATTGAAACAGCAGCGGTTCACATTCAAAAGGAATTGGTCGAATTTTCAACTAATGAAGCTTTAAAATGGTGATCGTCTCACAGAACTTTGGCTTCAATGTAACGTCAGTGGCCTATACCCTGGACTGTGGACTAACGTCAAAAATTTTCAATTGCCATTCCTTTTTCCTACCTTATTGAACATGGATTCAGTGCTGTTACGGATCCAGTCATAGAAAGAGAAATCGATTCGAAATCGTGCAACGAATAGCGTCTTCACCTCACTAAAAATATTGAACCGAACGTTAAGAAACTGGCTCTGAACCATCAAGTACAATCATCCCATTGACATAGTTACTTGATTGTTTCATTGATACTACTTTTTAGTGTAAAGAAGTTATTTTTGTCTTTTTTTTAAATTATGTCATTAAGAGCAAACGACTCTTTTTAAGCATAAGTTTATTTGTTGTATTTTTTTTTTCATTACCGTATTTATTTTGATTATGACAATTAGACTGCTGTTGTTAATTTACGTCGCACTAGAGCTGCACAATGGGCTATTGGCGACGGTCTGGGAAACATCCCGGAGGATGATCCGAAGACATGCCATCACAATTTTGATCCTCTGCGGAGGGGATGGCACCCCCGCCTCGGTAGCCCGACGACCTGCGCGCGAAGTCGAGCACTTTGCGGTAGCACAGTTTAACGAGGACCAATACCGCACACCCTCGGTCCCTACGCAGACTGATCCAAGTGGTCACCCACCCGCACACTGACCGTAGCCAGTGATGCTTGACCTCGGGGATCTGCTGGGAACCGTGTCTTAACGATCAGTCCACTGCGGGACGACAATTAGACTGCAATTACCTGCCAGGTGAAAAGTAACAAATTAACGTACACATTATTTAAAATAAATAAATATTTATTTTAAATAAGAATTTAATAAAAATTTAAATCGGCACACACATCTCGTCCCCATGCTCTAAATAACTGGATTTTCAACAAAGGGGGGCGTTGATATGTTTTTGGCTCCTTAAGGGGGCGGCAATGTTGAAAAGGTTGAGAATCTCTGATCTAGAGTAAACCATGATATTTCAAATGCAGAAGAAAATGTCCTCAAAGTATGAAAATACAGATAAATTATGGCAGGACTGTTTGCTCTCTGCTCAATCCTGAATATCCTACAATAATTTGTTTGCATTCTGATACTTGAAAAAATATTTTCAGCATTTCATACTTCATGGCTTACACCATGTTCACATGAACTCATTTTTTCTATACTATAAATTTTATTTATGTATTCATGTAGAAAAGGGATTTGTCACGGAAGATTTCTTCCGTGGTATAGCATCCTCTATAGCCTTTTCCAGTGACAACTTCCTCTGAGACTACACTGTAAAAAGTACCGGATCAAATTATGGTATAAAGTACCGGCAAATTGGGTGCATCATCGGTAAAATATTATACCGCAATTGTTAAAGTAATATTTATTTAATTAGAGTGATTCGGTGATTTTACGGTAATTATTACGGTAAAAATGAGGGTTTATCAGATTTTTTGTTACCTAACATGTTTTGATAAAATTCAATTTCACGGAAAAAAGTACCAGCATCCTCATTCGGTACTTTATAATCGGAATTTGATCCTGAATTTTTTATCGTGTACAGGGAAGATTACATTAGTGTGGAATCTAAACCAATATAACACAACTTCAAAAAGAGCAATTCAATAAGACACACAGTTTTTAGATAGTTTAATCGAACTCTGACCGAAACCGTAAAAGGCGAAGATTCTAATCACATCTCCAACATAAATGTTGATTAATTGAAGGACATGAAAGAGGGTCCCTTAGAGAAATGCTAAAAAAAGAAACAGAGTTTCTTAACACTTTGATAACGAGAAACTCGTTAATATGCGTTTGAACAGGAACTTAATTAATTTAACAAAATATTTTAACTGAAAATTTTTATAGAGTGAAATTATTGATTTATTTTCGGATATAAACACTTAAATTATGCCGTACCGCAGTGGACTGATCGTAGAAGCACGCTTCTTAGCAGGGCACCGAAGTCAAGCATCACTGGCTGTGGTCAGTAAGCGAGTGGGTGACCACTTTGATCAGCCTGCGTAGAGTCCGAGGGTGCGGGGTATCGGTCTTCGTGATACTGTTCTACTGTAAAGTGCTCGACTTCGTGCTCAGGTCGTCGGGCTATAAAAGGTGGAGAGCCATCCCCTCTTCAGAGGATAAAAGTTGTGATGGCATGTCTTCGGATCAACCTCAGGGAAGTTTCTCAGACCGTCGCCAATAGCCCATTTTGCAGCTCTAGTGCGACGTAAATAAAGTACCTACCTACCTTTATTCCAAAAGTAGAGGATAAAACAATTTCATTCCCATAATTGATGAAATAATAAGGAAATCTATGCAAAGATATCACTGAAAAAATATCTGTTTTGCATTTGCTGCAAAATTCTAGAATGTTTCAAAATTGTATGCTTGCATCGTGGGTAAATCGTGGTATTTGCTTATTCAAAAACCAATCAGGTTCGACACACGCATGTAACGTCGCTTATAGGCATGCAATTAAATCTGATTTAAATCACGTGGTTAGGCGTAATCACTTCACTTCTTCAGGAATTGCAAGTAATGAATTATAGTTTTACACTTTTGAAATAAAATATACTAAAGAATATATTTCTGAACCACTTACGCTGGAAGAACGTTCCACTCACGTCAAGAGGTTTTTGTCATCGTGTTCCACGCGTTGTTGGGCAACATCAAAGAAATTAAGGAGACGTTTGTGATTCGCATAACAGAAATGGAAAAAAAAAATTCAAATTTCTATTAAGCATTGAATGATTAACGTTTCACGGTGAGTTGTATTCTACTGTTTTGGTAAGCGCATCCAGGAATTTCTTGTCAACACAAGTGGTTATAAATGTAACTCTAGGAAAACCCAATATTTACCTATAGTTTGCAAACTATAATAGATAGAATTATAGTTTGCATCATGTTAATTCGTATGAAATATTTGTGTAATAATATTTTATCTACGTAATTAACGTAATAAGAAACTATTTCAATGCAAATTATTACTCGAAAATCTTTTATTTTCAACATCTGCAGTAAAATGTCCGATGATTTCGAAATTTCATCGTTATATTTTTGGAATAAAATATGCTTAAAATATTATTTCTTAAAGATAGGAAATCCCAAGAATTACCGTTGAAATTTGAACATCGTAAATTATAATGAATAAATTCTATTGAAATTTTTATAACGAAACCATTTTATCTACATATTTTGCATGACAAAAACCATTTTTATGCAAATTATCTGCGAAATAATTGAAAACAAAAAGTAAATTAGAATTTCTACACTTATAAAAATGTAATTCACAATGTAAAATAAAACTTTGAAGGACAGATTTTGTTTTCAAAAATATAACAAACGATAAAGCTGAACGATTTATAACCAGAATGTCAGTATTGTATTACTAAAATATAATACTTTCTGTAGAAACTTTACTGTATTTCGATTCATTTATAAAGCTATAATTAACGAAAACAAAATTCTCTTTGAAAGAAAGACGTCCCTTTTTTTATTAAAATTATGAAATATCCTCATAACATTATTTTTCATCGAGAAGAATAAGGAAAATGCAAAACAAATAACACTAGCTTCTTTATCCCTAGACATCAACTCCTCCCTCAAACATATCAGTATTATGTAATTATTGCAACTTGGGAAAAAATGAGCTATAAGTTAAACGTTCATCAGCCTCATAGGAGACAAAAGATGGGTGTTTGAGACAGTGAAGGTTAAGGTTAAGTGCGAAGTGTTACAAAACTCAAATAAACAAAGAACGTCTGTGTTCCAATTCAAAATAAATTTTGTGGAATTTTTTGTTTTTTGAACAGGGCCACACTTTTTGTCGCTCATTTAATAATGGAACGGAAGCTTGCTCAGTAAGCATGAAGATTTGGAATTTGTTACGCTACGCCAGATTGTTACAAATGAGGTTTCATCGCTTTCCCATTTTTCAAAGAGATTCGTTTTAAATGGTTTCGCGTCATTGCTTTGTGCTTCAAAAAGAAGGATTCACCTTGATATATCCGGCGCTGAACTTTCGCTATTGTTTCATTATCTTCTTCAAAAATGTTATTCATCAAAATGATTTTTAGCTGAAGACACACACGCAGCGTATGCTTGTTCATTGTTATGTCTACAACACATGTGGTCTGTAGCTCAATACTTTTGCGACATCAGTCTAAATCAATACGATTTCTTGGAATTATGCTTGTACGCTGAGAAAAAAGTATGGTCAAAACTACCAGAAAAGGGTAAAATTTACCATGTTTCTGGCTCTATGAGAACATCAAAAAATTCGGTAATATTTCAAAAACGAACTCTGCTAATGGTTTTAGTAAAATTAAAAACAAAATTTAGTTTTATAATGTGTGATAAAATTTTATCAGATTTCCTTAGAGCATGTGAGAGAGAGTATGCAAGACATCACTAGAGCTTTTTAAATGAGTAAATGTGAGCATAAAACCTTTTAATCGGTTAAATTCTTCATTAAAAAATGTTTCATCGCAATGAAGAGGTTGTGAAAATTCTTCATTTATTGTAAATAATGTTTTAGAATAATTTCAGTATTCGGATTAAATAGTCACTGCGCATGCATATTCACTACCTTGGCACTGAAATGATTATCACTTATAAATGTATTATATATGTGTTTTTAGTTTTTCTTAAGAAAATAAAAGATAAGAAAAAAAACTTAACAATATTAATTTGATTTACACAAATTCTCCAATTTATTTTGTCATAAAACTTTCCAATAGCTAAAAAAAAAAAATTTAAGCAGATTTTTAAGTTAAATTAGAATATAAATAAAATTGAATTAGTTTTCAGCGGAAAATGAAAAAAAAACAAAATTTGCAAAAGATGAAAATTTATGTTTCTTCTTTCTTATTGAAATTTACATCAGAATTTTTTTTATTGTTCATGTTTCCTTTGAAATGTTTTGCATTGCGATTTTATTAATAAAAAAAAACCTTAAAATTATTTTGAAATTGAAAATAGATTTTAATACTTTTTAAATAATACTTATACTGCCACTTGTCTACAGCTGTTTTTGCTAATACTGTTTTTAAAAAAAAACTAAAAGTTTTAATGCTATTTTAAATTGAAATTATTATTTTTTCAAGAAATTGTTAAGCAGTCTAAAAATGCTTTAAAAATTTCCTGTAAACAAGTTAAAGTAAAATAGATGTCTCGAATTTCACGCAATCATATTTCATTAGTTTGAGATTTATTGTTTTGTTACAGAAAAGAAAACATGAAAAAATTATCAGGGGAAAAATTTCAGAACATTTTATTTTTAAAATGGGGAAAAAAGTCATTTACTTTTATCTCGCGAAAATATTACTTAACTTTTTAAATGATAAAAAATCGCTGCTTTGTAAAGATTTTTATCGCTCGATTCCTACTCCCTTTGAAACCTTAATCAATTTTGAGTTAGTCGGAAAAACTTTTATTTTATTGCAGAAATGGCAAAATTCATGTATTTTTCAATAAATTTTGAACCTGTTTATTGCAGCTTCATAGCAGTTTCGGAAGCACACAATAGAAATACAGTATATCTTCAGAACCGATGGATTTCTACGCATTTGCACATGCGTCAAATCTGCTTTGAATAAAACAAAATAAGCATGCGATTAGATGAAAGATATTGTGTTTTTCTTCATAGTTAATGCTCGCATAATAACTTCTAAAGAAGCAAATCTCAACGTATCAACCCTTTCTGATTATGGAATTCTTCTGTTAATGCTCGCACATGAACTTCTAAAGAAGCAAATCTCAACGTATCAAATCCTTTATTAAAGTAGAATTGTTCTGTTAGTGCTCTATAAGAACTTTTAAGGAAGCATATCTTAGCGTATTAACCCTTTCTCATAAAAGAATTATTCTGTTAATGCTTGTATATGATCTTCTAAAGAAGCAAATCTCTACGTAACAACCCCTTCTTATAGTAAAATTGTTCTGTTAATGCTCGCATATGAATTTCTAAAGAAGCAAATCTCAACGTATAAACCCTTCCTTATAGTAGAATTGTTCTGCTAATGCTGGCATATGAACTTCTAAAGAAGCATATCTCAGCGTATCAACTCCCTCTCGAAGTAAAATTGTTCCGGAGTGGTAGTTATTGCTTTTGAAAAGGAACACTATTAAGTGATTTCTTATTTTTCTTTTGCATATCATACTAGTTTTTAAAAAAAACATCACATTAGTTGCGTCACAAAATCAGTTTAAGTGATAAAGGGTTAAAGAGATTATTTTTAATCTGTTACGAAGTCGAAATATATAATTAAAAATATCTTTGAACTTTTAAATATTTCATATCGTAAATGCTCTTGAAAGTGACGTGAATGATATACGTCTCCATAACTAAAAAAAAAAAAGAAGAAAGAAAAGATTTATTCAAATAAGAGGTATTCTTAACTAGATCTGAGGTGTTTCGATAATTTTGCGATTTTTTTTTTTATGTTTATCATTTAAAAAAGTCTACTATCTCAAGTTTGAACACTTAACAATACATTCGAATTATGTTTTTCCACATTACGTTGATAACAAGAAAGGCACTTTTTTATTGTTAAATTGAAGATAAATGTTAAAGCGATAAATAACAGGAAGTATAATTCAACCCTTTTCAAAATTTTCAAGCAAGCTGCGCAGGCAATATTATTCCTTGCTGCAAATTTTATGCCTATGCTGAGTTTTCTGTATTACCGCTCTGTAACCCTGCTTTTAAAAAATTTTCACCCTCGACAGTAAGTATAAATCATTGTGCATAAATATAAATTCAGAACTTGTTTTCTTTTCTACTTTTACTTCTTAAAATGTAGCAAATTAATAATCTCAAAGTATTATAAATCTGATTTTAAGTCATTTCTATGTTATAAAAATACATATTTAATAAAAAATCAGTGTAAAAATAAGTGCTAGCATATAAACTTTTATATTAGATACTAGACAGAGTATGCACTCTCTCGTAATATCACGCAGGCTCACGTACTCAAAATCTGCGCAAAACTACAAAACGTGCGCAAAGCCTACAGTAGGATGCTGCAAGAGAGGACGAAATCTCACTGTTAAAGGTTTTAAGAATTTGTCTGAATAAAATATTTTTTTTAAAAAATTAATAAAAGAAATTTTTGGAAATCAGGAAAAATCTTGTATGTATCTTGAATAAGAAAATCTAAGTTAAAATTGTAAAAGACTAAATTAAACAATGCAAATTTAAATTAAACTTGTGCAATATCTATAAATTTCATGTCATAAATCAAAAAGATGTCAAACGCTGTATCCTTCATGAGACTGTGCCAAAAACAAAATCCTGATTTATTATATTAAAAGAAAACTAAATTAGGAAACAGTATGGATGAATACGATTGAAGATATGTTACAACATCAAGAATTCAAGATGAAGTTGCCTTTTAATGATCTACAAGCCATTAAAAAATTTTGTTGAGAAATAGAAGATGATTAATTTTTTTAACAATATATCCAACAAACAGGATATCCAAAATTTGCATATGAATAGTGTTACTTTCAAGTAATTCACTGGGCATTAGTAACATACTATGAGGTATTGGATACCCGATATAAAAGGGAGCATAATTTTCTCTACCCGTTTTCAACCATTCTCAACCCCATATGAAAGGGAGCATAACTTTAAGTAAGTCCAATTTAGTTTTGAATAAGAGTGTGCAAAAAAAGCTTTGTTTTTAATGCTGAGAATCTGGCTTTTTGTTCTTTAATTTACTAATCAAAATTAATAATTAAAGTTTATAATTAAAAAAAACATATTTTTAATATATTTTTTCATTCAAATAGGTCGTTCAAAAATGCATACATTTAAATAATTATATTAAATTATTCAACGCATTTATTTTATCCTGAAAAATTCATTAATATATTTTCGCAACTTCATGAGTTTTGAGCTAGTACATACATTATAAGAAAGTAAAACAACATTATTACCAATTAACTTGATCAAATAGAAATATGTGAGCCAGGATAGCCTGGTTGGTCGGGTGTTGTGCCCATGTCCAAGAAGTCTTGAGTTCGATTTTCCGCCGGTAGAAGACAATGTACAAAATGGTGACTGGGGCGCACTAAATCTCTTTGGGTCACAAAGTCCTCCAAGTTCCCATAACAAATCAATATCTCTGTGGATACTGGATCGGAGATCGATCGTGCTCTGGCTCAGTTTAAAATTAAGATCTGCAGATGGATGAATGATGTGTGAATCATTGTGTCCTCCCTGTAAAATGGGCTGTGACGTATGTGTGTGACAGACGTCGAATACTTGGCCATAGATGGCGCCATGAAGCAGCGCACCCTTCCTGCTTTATTGGCATACGACAACAGCAATAACAAATATAAATATGTAATTTAAATCGTTATAAATGAACCATTTTTTCGATCTCATAATAATATTTTTGTGGACAAGATGCATAGAACATTTAACATGGACATGCAAAGAACATTCACCGTTTCTCATGTTAGCTAATAGACGTGTTATTGAATGAAAATTTTATCGTAAAATAGAAGAGTAAATAAGGCAATAGTCAAAGATAAATCTTCTTGAATAACTCAGAATTAAGAAAATTTCTTTTCTTAGAATTTAGAAGTTTAAGAAATTCTTTCCTAAAATTAAATTCTTGAAAGATAGTGTTGAGATATGTATATTTATATTCAGCGCAAAGCATATGTTGAAAAACGTGACTTATATAATATATTATATAATTCATGTGTTCAACACACCGTAGAATTTTGTGAGATGGAAATACATATCCCTAGCCATGTTCATCCCATTTGTCATATCTATTTTTTTTATTGTGATTACTCATGAGTGTAATTGAATTTTTATTCTCGCATTTTTATTTATAAATGAAGTGTAATCAATAAACGGTAGGTATTAATTTTTTGATTTGCTATCTTTGCAGATAGCAAATCAAGATATTGATCTTAGATCTAAATCTCAATCTTATGTTGTATTTAAAAAAAAAAGAACTTTTTGAAATTGTAAGCTTCTATTTGTCATATCTGTTTTGTTTTTTTTACATTCTGATTACTCATGTGTAAATGAATTTTTATTCTCGCAGTTTCATTTATAAATGAGATGTAATCAATGAATGGTAGGAATTAATATTTTGATTTGCAATCTTTGTAGGTAACAAATCTAAATATTGATCATAATCTAGAAATTAATCTTAGGTTATACAATTTTTTTTTTCAAACTCCCCAATTTTAGACTTTTAAAAAGGAAAAAAAAATAATTTAAAATTCTAAGCTTCCATTTGTCACATCTATATTTTTATTGTGATTACTCATGTATGAATGAATTTTTATTCTCGCAGTTTTATTTAAAAGTTAAGTGTAATCAATGTTGTATGATATATATTAATTTTTTGATTTATCTTTGCAGATAGTAAATCAAAGTATTTATCTTAAATCTAGATCTCAATCTTATGTTGTACCAAACAATTGTCAAAGTAAACTCTCAAATTTCAAGCCTTCGAAAAAGAAAAACTTTTTAAAATTCTAAGCTGTTCCAAAAGACTTTTCCGACTATTGTTTTATTTACTCTTCAATAAACTGTTTTGCCAAAATACATCAGGATTGATGTTTCATTTCTTTTTGGCTCACAAGAACAAATAGCAATTTCATAGTTTCTCAGTGAATTAAAATCCAGTCATTATTAACGGATATAATCCAAACATATTTTTCATTGCTAATAATAATTGTTTTCAGACGTCCTATCCTGTAAAAAAATAAAAATAAATAAAATTAAAATACCAATCTCGCAGTTTTATTTAAAAGTTAAGTGTAATCAATGTTGTATGATATATATTAATTTTTTGATTTATCTTTGCAGATAGCAAATCAAAATATTAATCTTAGATCTAGATCTCAATCTTATGTTGTACCAAACAATTGTCAAAGTAAAACTCTCAAATTTCAAGCCTTCGAAAAAGAAAAACTTCTTAAAATTCTAAGCTGTTCCAAAAGACTTTTTCGACTATTGTTTTATTTAATCTCTTATAAACTGTTTTGCTAACATGCACCAGGATTGATGTTTCATTTCTTTTTGGCTCACAAGAACAAATAGCAATTTCATAGTTTCTTTGTGCATTAAAATCCAGTCATAATTAACGGATTTGATCCAAATATATTTTTTACTGCTAATAATTGTTTTCAAACTTCCTATCTATAAAAAAATAAATAAATAAATAAAATTCAAATATCAATTCCTTTCAAGGTTAAGTAAATATTCACCTACAAAAACCTACATGCCAAGCATCAATCCCTGACATTCACCTAAATACAGTAACAAAAAAACTTTTTCTGAATGAAATGAAATAAACAAATTAAATGAAATAAACTAGGCGACATAAAAATGTTGAAAACCTTCGATAAAGGAAAGAAATAAGGAATTGCAAACGTTTAAACAGAAAAATAAATAAAATAATATAAAGTGGATACCGCGTGGTTGGATACGGATCACTGGTTAAAACATACAAAGCGTATTTGCTTGCATACCAACCCAATTATCGTCCATTCATTCTAATACACCCACCCCTCCCAATAATTCTTTTTTCACTTTTCGATTTTTTTTCCTTCTGAACACCGGATGTTAGCGGTCATGTTTTTGTGCGAGGGCAAGGAGCTCAAAATTCTAAACAGGTACGAACGTGCTAGGCCTTCTAGAAAATTCGATTGTTCGATGTTCATTTAAGTTGAGAGTAAGTAAAGAATATTTGTTTTAATTGATCAGTGAGAGCTTTTTGAAAATTAAGAATAGGAGACTATTTAGGTTGCTTCCGAATGTTCTAATTGTCGCCAAAGAGATTTTTCATTCTTTTATAAATTATCTGTAATTTAAAAGAGTACGTAGCTCTAACTTTACTTTGTAAATGCCTATTTATGAAAGACGTAACAGATTGTTTAATGGATCATATGCTTTTAATTTATAATTTGCTTAACTGCATTTTGGCGATTGTTGCGCCAAATACAATCGCCAAGGTGCCAAATATGTTACAAGCTTTCAAATTTTAAAAATTGAAAAAATTTGAAAAAAACATGTAGATGTTTGCCCAGGGTGACTACGAGTTATACCTTTCGAGTTGGTCCCTTTCTGTGATGTCTGATGTGTTGTTAAGTTTCTTGTGGGCGATTATTCTGCCACAGATCGCGATACGGAAATCTCCCCCATTTTCGTCAATTTAATTTCGAACTTTAAGTACTGCCGAATTTAAATAACTCTGTATTGTTAATTCGTCTGAACTGAGCTTAGATCATTCAGGGCAGCTCAGAAAATTATCTTATATAAACAAACGTTTTATGAATTAAATCGTTGATTCGAATTTTGATTATTAAAATATAAAAAATCTGCTTCTATATATTTTAGTTTCGAAAAAGAAAACAGATTTGAATATGTTTAAGTCATTAGTTTAGAGACTCATTATCGTATTAATGCAATGAAAACAGAATATTCTTATATATATATGAAACATGGGGAATTTTAAACAAAAACATTTTCTGCACATTTTGAAATATCTGTATCAAGTATTTACGAAATAATGATACCATTCATTTGATATGTAATAACAGTCACTTTATATTTGAATTTTAAATTATTTCTTATCAAAAATCCTAACTAAATTTCTATTGCTAAAAAAAAAAAAAAAAAAACTAGGCTAAGTTTTATCAAATAATCAAGTGTGCATATTAACCTGAAATTGTTAATGAACGTTGAAATCAT